AATCTCATTAGTGGCACAGAATTGGGAAACTTCATTTTTTTCACATATTCCAAAGCATTATATGTACGAAGTACACAAATGGAAGAAAAGTCTTCCACCATGAGTACAATACTGATGATCATGACCACTAGTTTGTTAGCCACTAATAGATCCACGACCTCCTGAATCACGACCACGACCATGGCACTGTCCTCGTTCATGACCATGACCCGAGTATTAAGCAGATAAGTTGGGGATAGAGGTAAGCAAACGTTTGGTTCGGTCAGTTCTAACCATTTTTTATTGCTCCGAATTGAACATAACTAAGAAGCAGAGCCGAATCGAATCGAGTTATTTCGATTCGGTTTGGTTGGTGTTTTCAGTTGCTGAGTTCCATCACTATGAGGACACTAACAACGGCAACTAAGAAAGAAGATGCTTTAAGGGCAAATTTAAGAAGAGAAGATATATAGAACAAGGATAAAGATAGTAGATAAAGATAGTATACATTACCTAAGAGCAAAAGAGACGAAATGATTGAGATCATTCATTTTGGCTACGGAATCGTTGAAGGAGCAAGGCCATGGCTTCGCTTTGCCAAATTGGTAGATGGAACGACTTTGAGCGTTTCCTCTTTCTCTATTCTTGTGTGACAGCTAAAAATGAGCTATCAAGAATTAGTCACTTGACTTATTATTGAGTGGTCTCCATACAAAAAGAGGGAAACAGTTATCAAAGAGGTTATAACTTCAAATATCGCAACAAACTAGGTTCATTTATGGCTGGTTCCATGTAAACGGGTGAAGTATATAACCCGATCCAAACGGAACTAACTTCTGAAACGAACTCGAATTGACCAAAAAGGGGCGGTTCGATCGATTTGATCGATTAGACCCGAACTATGCTTAGCCCTAGCTGGGGATAACATTGAAGACCCAGTGGAGCACGAAGCACCCCAGAATATGTGGAGATCAATGTGGGAACAATATCTCTAGCTAGTATCTATCCCCTACCCGAGTTAGCAATGTAGGATCCAATTCAAAAAGAAACTTGGCTACAACTAGATCCTGACGGTACTTTCTCAAACCCTTCAAGTCAGTCACAAGAGGTTGGTGAACATTTAGCTCATCTGGAGTACCTCTGAGGGCAGAGTAATACTCAAGCACTGGTTTCTCCCCCGATTCGATAGCAAACAACTGCTCGTATAAAGAACAAACTTAAGAGATGTACCTTCTCATTTCCATACACCTTCAAGGTCAACCAAATATCCTTGCCAACCTTCAAGAACATAACATTGGAGCTCACTTTTTCATCCGTATTATTAAGCAACCGGGTGATTACACAACAGTCACTAGCCAACCAGTCTGAGTAGGCAGAGTAGGCATGGTCCTTCTCATTTGTAGGATCCTCAAGGAGATGCTTTAAGTTCTTCTGAGCGCCAACAGACTCACAAAAGTCTTAAGCACATAGTAGGTTGTTTTCTTCGGTCAGTTTCACAGTAGTGATATACATAGTTCTAGGAAGTAGGCTCTCCATTATAGAAGAAGCAACAAAAATGGTCAAAGTCTTATCATTAGTCGTAGTTATAGCCAAGGTTTTAAATATCGGTTTTCGGGGATTTATCAGGCGGCCAAAATCCTTATCGGATAGCGAAAATCGGGAATATATCGGGGATAAGTAGTATTTATCGGAGTGATATACCGTATGATGTATAAATAATATAATACATTATACCCCAAATTTTAATCCAACCATACCCCCTCTTTCATTCTCTCAACTTTCACTAAATAACTAGAGAAAAAACTAACTGAATAGTGAATATTGTTTGTTGCTACAACTTCAGAAGTTGTGTCGAGGGCGTGGCGTCAATGGAGAGTCCAAGTTGAACTGTCAAAGTCACAGTTGATGATGGCATCGATGGAGAGCTCATCATTGGCCAACGTCATCGAGTCGATCAGTTGATGATGGTGTTGATGGAGAGAGCACAACGTCGGTCGAAGTCGTCAAGTTGATGAAGTCAACGTCGATGAGAAAACAACGTCGAATGGTCGAAGTCGATAGCGTTGAGGTTAGCGGAGTCCGAAGAGGAGCGGAGGCGAGCGTCGAAGTCGGCGGAGATGAGCGTCAAAGTTGACGGAGTTCAAAGAGGAACGAAGATCAGAGGATTAGGACAGTGGGCACAGCCGTAAAAATGAGGGGAGAGAGAATGGAGGATTAGAGCTACAGAAACAGATTTAAGTTTTATTGTAAAGAACAGGTCGGGTCGGGTTTCGAGTTCACTCAAAATCTGCTCATTATCCAAAATCATAACCTAATAGTGTGACCCGATAATTTTGATTTTTAGATCCGCTAATATCGGTCGATAATCACCTTTATCGCTACATTATCACCGATAAACTCCAAAAAACGATAACCGATTTAAATTCTAACTTATCCTATCAGAAAGCTCCAAAAACCAATAACTCGGGGATAATATCGGATTATCGGCTGATTTTTAAACCATGATCATAGCAGCAGCGGAAACACAATAAACCAGGATCTATACGCAAATAATAGAAGAGAGAAAGCAGTGGACCACGATCATTGATCACAAGAGTCCAAGACATAATCAACGATCGTGGCCTCGGCAGAGGGAAACAGAGTAGTTGGATGATGAGCGGCTAGGCAACAAAGATAGGAACAACAAGATGAGGGTTTAGGATAGCAAGTAGGAGGTAGGGATATGAGGGATACTATGACGATCTAGCACAAGGTTAGTTGATAAGGGAACAATGATGATAAACAGATCAGTTGAGGTGCTTGAGGTCAAATCGAGCATGAGGCAGTGGTCTTGGGTCTAGTTGCAAGTAATAACAGATCTAGCAACGGTCACTGATAGAGGTCGATGATGACAGCACGAGATCCCCACGATTTGAAGATGAGATCTCACATGGGTGGAGTAGCTAAGAGTGAGCTTGCAAGTGCGACGAGGGTGGGGGGTCCTCACAGGTGGTGACTATGGTAGGGCTGCCTACGAGGGCCGGTGGTGACGGGAGGGTCCGATCAGTGGTTGGAAATTTTTGTGAAGGATTATGGTTTATTTTGAAAGGGACGGGGGATTTAGTTGATCTTTTGATGTGTGGTTGGAATTGAGTTGTATTTCATAACTGCTCTGATACCTTGTTATAAAATACTTGGATGTTCTTGTCACTGGTTGGAGCAGACAAATATGATGTAGGTATACAACCGATTAGTAATTAAAGCCGGTCGATACCCACTAACCCAATAACTAATACAATACTAAATCTAACAAGTTTATATGAAGGAATTAGTTCGTTGTTATTTATTTATTTATTTTTTTGGTCAATGAATTAAGTTTTCATTCACCAAGTAAGCATTGTATGTAATATCAATTCCTCGGTATTCCCGAGTGATTACACTCTCAATCTACATTGTATATCTTTATCTCTAAGTCAGAACTTCATAACTATCTTAAAGAATCTATCCACTTCTTAAAATTGAGAGGAATAATAGACTTATACAAAGATGATAACACTGAGACTTCAATCCTCTTTGTCACCAATCTGGACCTGCAGCAGCATTAGAATGCAATCTGATATTTCTCTCAAACCACACTCCATAAATTGCATCAACCACGATCATTCTTCACACATTTGCTCTATAATTTTTCTCTTGTTTGTTAACATATTGAAAGACTGAATTCCAGTGACAATTCCTCATCTTAAAACCAGACCAAAGCGTAATTTGGTTCCACACTTCAGCTGAGAAGACACCCAAAAAATAAGTGTTGCTGAATTTCAACTGAGTTTTGGCATAAACAAGTACTACTATCTATAACCCCCATTTTGCATAATCTTTCCTTTGTTAGCAGCCTGTTATGAGCAATTAACCAAAGAGTGAAAGAGGTTTTAGGGATATTCAGCTTTCCCCAAACAGTATTATGCCAATGAACACTCTGCCCGGTAGGGATGATATCCTTGTATGCCTTTGTTATTGTAAATTTTACCCCACAACACCACTGTTGCAATTTTCATAGTCAGCTCGTTCCTTGTATTCATCACTTGTTATTTATTTCCATCAAATCAAGCTTTCTACATTTCTCTAGAAAATAGCTATAAACATGAACGCGCTGCTTAGTTGTCACTAGTTCACATGATTCTTCCCATTGTTTTAAAAAGCGCTTTGGGCGCCCGCCTAGGCACTTAGCAGTACCTAGGCCGCCCGTGTAAGTCTTGGGAGCGCCTAGGGGAGAATTCGCTGCTTATACAGACTATATAGTGCTAGAAAGAGGTATATTTCTCGCTTAAGCATAGCAATGGTTAAAAAGAGTTAGCCATGTTAAAATGTACTAGAGATCAAGACTCTATGTCCAAGTCTATCTTAAGTAAAATAATGAGGATGTGATTTAAATCTTCGAAAACGATCTTTCCTCTCTACGTGTTAAAAATGTCTCTGTGTTGCTTAAGCGTCTGCCTAGGCGTCTAGGCACTAGACGCTAGGTCTGGCGTCTGGAAACACCTAACGCTTTCTGAAACAGTGATCCTTCCTCAAGTTATGTATGCATCTGTCTAATTAGCAATTGTCTTATCAAAGTTCAGCAAGGTTACCCACCAACTTAAAGCAGTTTGCAAGTCAAAATTTTACTATTTATTTCTGAAAGGTTGTGTCTTGTATTTCCCTTTGGTGGTAAAGAAGTACTAATAAATGGAGATATGACAGTGGTAACTGAACTTTTTTTTTCATTTGATATAATGTGGTATATGGTGGAGAGAGATCCTATAGTGGCATTCTAAATTATAGTAAAAGATCCTGTTGTCACTAGTTTCTTCGTCTGAACTCTGCCACTTACTTAAGAGTAAATTGAGGTTCATAGCTGATCTTGGAACTTGGTGGAATTATTGTGGTAGGTTTGGGGAAAGAGCTGCTGATGATCTTCTGAAGGATGATTAGTAAATGTATCTGATGTTTGTCTTCTTTTCTATGGTTATACACTTCCTCGGTCATTCTTTTTTACTTTACAGGATGGTGCCTGCATTGTTCATGACATGTTTGGTAATGAAGTTGTGGAGAAGATTAAGGAATTATACTGTGATGCATTCCTTACAGCTCATTTTGAGGTCCCCGGAGAAATGTTCTCTCTTGCTATGGAAGCAAAAAGGAGAGGGATGGGAGTTGTGGGCTCCACCCAGAATATATTAGATTTCTTTAAAAGTCGGGTGCAAGATGCTTTAGATAGGGATCTTGATGATCATCTTCAGTTTGTTTTGGGGACAGAATCAGGAATGATCACTTCCATTGTTGCTGCGGTTCGTGGATTACTGAGTTCTCCTGCATACCTTTCTAGAAAATCAAGAGTCACTGTTGAGGTTGTGTTCCCGGTCTCATCAGATTCAATATCAAAGACAAAATTGAATTCATCGGAAGGAGTAAATTCATCTATAGCAAATGATTTAGCTAAACTTACTGTAGTTCCTGGTGTGACTACTGGTGAAGGATGCTCTATTCATGGAGGTTGTGCTTCCTGCCCATATATGAAGGTCAGTTTATATTTCGACTTAATAAAGTACATTTATCAATTCCATTTACTCATCCAGTATTCTAGTTTCGGAAAGGAAAGCAATCATTCATATACCATTTATGATTTATCGAGCTGTCTTCTAACTTTTTGCTTTTTTATTGTACCGATGGGTCTGTGTGTATACTGGGTCGAGTGGTACATAACTCAGAGACTTACATTGGGTCAAATATTTTCCTAACAAAGGAAGTCTACAGATTCTGCACAAGGATCTGTTTGGATTGAATGAAAATGAAGGAAAAGAAAAGAAAATAAGGGAAATAGATTTATATAATTTTGTTAGAAGGAAATATAAGAAACAAAGGAAAACAAGAATCAAAGGAGAAAAAGGGCCTTCGCAATTTTCGGCTCATCATTTCTGCCTCGCTGAAAGCTAGTGGGAAGTTGACGGAAAAATATAACCGGGACTGATTGACTATAGCAACCCAGGACTCGCGAACGGCCCGCCCCACCGGCAACCCCACCCGCCCCCCCCCCAAAAAAAAACAAAAAAAAAAAAAAAAAAATACCCAATCCACTAACTTTGGTATGCAGGCCAATCAATGTTGCAGTACAAAAAACATCTTGCACCATGGTGGCATGTGGGCCCCACTCGGATAAAAGGCATGGATCCAAAGGCTCTCACATGCTGGTTTATTTTTTACTGAAATTAATATTATTTTCTTGCAATTTCTTTTTACAATTTTCTTTCTAGCCAAACATTAACAATAGTCTTATTTCATTTCTTGTTCTTTTCCTTTCTTTTTCTTTTTCATTTCCTTTTCTTTTCTTTCACTTTGCCTCAAACCAAGCACAGCCTAATAAAACAGTTGCACTTTACCTTAAGCGGAAGAGGTTATGCCCATATCTAATACTAGAAACTAAAATAATATGGGCAGTTATGATGGAGCTTTTTTTATTTTGTTTGTTCTTTTCCGCATATTGCTAAAGTGGCGCAGGTCGTAGAATATTGCATTTATTTCCTAAATCACACTACCAGAAAGAATTTGAACTACTATGATGTGAAGAAATGAATATAGTAAAGATTAGTCTTGGTGGAGATCGAAGTTTTAATTCTTTTTCTAAATTTGTGAACTTATTCTTGTTAATTGTTTGCAACTTCTTGAATCTAATTGTCATTATTTTGTGCTGTTAGTCCTGTAGTTTATAGGACCAACTGTGATATGATTTTGCCATTCATCTTTTGAGCGTCTTCTGTCCATGTGACTGATATTTCTAGCTTTGTTCCGGGGGAAGGGTTTGCTATCATTCCCAAAGTCTGCTAAATGTTATGGGAGTTCATCCCCTTGTGTTGGTGATAGGGCGTTTGTTTCAGTTCTTATTATTTTATAGTAAGTAGGGTAAATTGCAGATAAACCCCCTCATTTATTAGTACCACACCCCCACCCAACCAACAACAACAACAAAAATTAAAAATAAAAAGTAAAATAAAAAGTAAAAATAAAAACCTCTTCAACTCCTGAGGGAGAGGGGTGCTACTAGCAATTTATCTTCCTAAGAATGGCAATCCTGGAGTGGTAAGTGCTAGCAAACAATTTGAGGGGTGTTAAGTGAAACTGAAGGTATAAATGGGAGGTTGTGTGCAATTTATCCTAATAAATAATTCAGTTTCTCGTAGCTGATACTGTTAGGCAGAAGTTTAAACTGAAGGTATAGATGGGGGGTTGTGTGCAGTTTATCTTAATAAACAATTCAGTTTCTCGTTGCTGAGTTCTGCCCTGGTAGGCAGAAGTTTAAAGACAAAAGTATAGGTTATCATTGCCATTCCTCAGTCCTATCCTAGCTCCATACGGAAGATAGAAATGACCTTAAGTCTTTTCCATATTCCAACTCCTTTCTATTTCTTTTTGAGTCATAACTGGATATTCCAATCCCTTTCCCTTTTGCCATACAATGTAAAGAGTATAATGCCTCATTTGCCATACCATGATCTAGTTTTGCATAAAAGATGATTGTCACTGCTATTTCTGATTTCTGTCTTGTGTATCTCACTGTAGCTTCGTGTAATTTGCAGATGAATACTCTTAGCTCTCTGTTAAATATCTCCCACGAGCTTCCTGACAGTGAAAATGCTCTCTGTGGTTATCAAGCCAGCAGATTTAATGCAACAACACCTCTTGGAAAATCGATCGCTGAGGTTGGATGTGAACCAATATTGCACATGAGACACTTCCAGGTTAGCTATCTGCTTATGTTCTATCTTTTCACCCAACTGGCATAGAAAAAAATGTTTCCGTCTGTCTAATTATTTCAAACACTTAATTTCTGCTTTGCCTTTAAATGAACCTGTATCGCACATGAGACACTTCCAGGTTAGCTATCTGCTTATTTTCTATCATGTCACCCAACTAGCAAAGAATTTTTTTTTTTCACCTGTCTAATTGATTCAAACACTTAATTTCTGCTTTGCCTGTAAAGTACCAATAATACCCCTAAATTCCCAGTTAACATCAATTGACCTCAATAGGCAGAGTTAAACCATAAATTTAACCTAATGAACGTGCATGTATCCATTAGGTTTCCAGTCAATCCTTTGGTTTCTCTAAAAAATTTTCTATTAAAAATTACAGGCAAGACGACAATTACCTGAGAAGCTTGTCCATCAGATTCTCATGCGGTCCAATGATGGAGCAGCTGTTTCATGACAATCCGTCAAATGCATGTATGTTTTGATGCTCTAATATTATAGAACCAAGTTTGAAGTAGAATCTCTCTCACATCTATTTGAAATACACAAAATACACATTTTGGTGCAATATAAATTATGCTGGTCATCTTTCAACTGAGCTCCAGTTTATGTACCTTTAGAACAAATGAAGCTACAGGAAGCTCGTACAATTGCCACCCAATTTTTTTTATTTGGCTTCGTCAGCTAATCTTTGCTTACATTTTTTTTATTAAATTCCTTATATAAATGTATGTAAATGAACACTGATGTTTATACACAAGTATGTCAGTCACATTTCCGAACAGTTTATGATATACTTGGTTCACTAGTCAAAGCTTTTTCATGCTTATTCAAGTATTATTGTTGTCAAAGCTTTTTCATTCTTATTCAAGTATTATTGTTGTCGTCGCAATCTTCATTTACCCATAGTTCTTATTAGATATGATCTGTATAAATTTGAAGAGCAACTCTATCTGAATGTGGCTGTAGTTTTGAATGGGTCTACTTATGAACATGCTTGTTTAGTTAAGTAGGGTTATTGGGTATCATTTCATTATCCGTATCCGTATTGCAATCATATAATTGTATTGGTTTTCTAATCAATAATTTTCTACTTGGTCTTTTTCTTTACGATGATGTCAGTCATATTTTTGTAAAAAAACTAAACCCCAAAAATAAAAAATACACTGTTCATTGATGGCGCTGTTTGTCAACGGACAGTAATAACTGGTTACTGTTCATTGTGAATAATATCACTCCGTCATCATCCCTCGGGGCGCCATCTCCAAATCTCTTCCTCATCGTCTTCATCTTCATTTATCAATGCTAGCATCACCTTGATTTCCTATAGCTTCTGCTCTCTATTGACGTTGTTGCCTTCTGCCACTATCGCTAATTTAATAAGATTTGATCTGATTTCTTAATATAGTTAAAAAAATTCTGATCTGATTTGATCTGATGAGAACTAGTTATTTTCTGATTTTTGGCTAATTTGAAGCTTTTTCTGGCTAAATTTTGTGGCTAATTTCATTAGATCCGAGTTGTTGATTTCTCAATATTTAGCTGGCTGAGATGTCGGATATCCAGAGCTCTTTGACCCCTTTTATTCCTCTTATTGTTATGGAGACATCTTCCAAAAACTATTTTGGAAACCATTGTGAAACTAAATGGATCTATTTATTTGTAATGTGCACAAGCATTCAAGATTTTTATTGGTGCTCAGAACAAATTGGAGCTTCTTTTGAAGAATCCACCTGTTTCTACAGGTTATAAGTACAAGACCTGGTTTTCTAGAGGCTCATCAATAGTATGGAAGAAATGGTCAGTAGTAGTGTCATATTCTTATCTACTGTCAAGAAAATGTGGGACATTCTCAAGGTGATGTATGGAAATGAGAAGAATGTATCCAGAGTTTATGAGATCTATGTTCTTTGTAGCAGGGGGATAAATCTTTGTCAGAGTTCTATGAAGAGTTGAAAGGGTTGATGGATGAGTTGGAAATGCATCAGCTTGCTGTTACTGATCCAGCGTCACTAAGGGGATATTGTTCGGATCTAGCGGTGTCGAGGTTTCTGTTTGGCTTGGATCCGTTGTTGGCATCTCAGGTGCGAGGACATATTTTGGGAGGAGATAGTATTCCCTTGTTGACATTATTGGTAACATAAAATACAATGCAACCGAAATTGCATATTATGTAGATTAATCAAAATTGATTAAAATCTAAAAGAGTACCTGAAACGCTTTACAAATTTCTTCGATAATCTGTCCTAAGATCAATACGAAATAGTTTCCTCAAGAGAAAAAGCCTCCAAAAATCCACCCATCACCGAAGAGGAGCAATACTGAGAGAGATGTTCTCAAAATCTATTTCCCTTTTTTATTTCTTTTTCTTCTTCTTCTTAATTTCATAAGGCTACATATGAATCCTATATATAAGATTGGACCTACCTTATAGATTTCAATTTCAAAACAATTTTTTAATTGTTTAAACTCCATCCATAACATTTAAAGATAGAATATTCTTTCCATAACAATTAGGATAAAAATAGAATTATATTGCATGTAAACATTTTCTAATGACATTAGTGAGACCAATTGGGTCCCATATCGAGAACCAATTATTAATTAAATTAATAATTTTAATTTAACAATCAAATCCTTATCCGATCAACTATTTATAAAAGCTCTTCCATAATATGTGATTAAATATTCGTGAATAATATTATCTTACATTCAGTCCCCTCTAGTATCAATTTATTTTAGGCAACTTTATCATCTATTTGCACATTCCTAAAATTGCAATCCCATGAACATAAATAAAAATTATTTTGAAACATCAAAATATTTTATTTTATAAGAAAATAAATTCAAAAAAATATTTTTTAAAAACTACCCATTGACGAGAATTTAATATCTTCATGGGATATGTATTATAAATTAACTCATAAAAATGAGTGTACTAGATCCTATCTAGATATCCATCATTTTCCTAAATGAAATCTAATAACCCAACAATTCAAGTTGTATAGCACTTGTAAAACAAGCTTAACCATTATATCAAAATATACTAAATTATCAAATCGAAAATGATAATATCATCAAGTCTAAGGGACCGCGTAACAATTCGAATTCTCCATCTCTTAGGTGACTCGTCCTAGAGAATCCAAATAAGGTCTTGTGCTACACATATCAAATATGCGCTTATGACATACACCCGTGGAATCTTCATTCCCGATAGTTGAGATCAACCATCACATCTCATATGTCGTCGTTATACATAATAACTTGTTATAACAAAGTTATCATTTACTAGTTATAAGTTGAGTATAAATTTAAGAAACCTCTTAATTAGATCATATCTCCAAGCAAGTGACCATCATAGTGCAACATCTAACAAAATAATTTCTAAGGATAATATAACAATTATATAAAAGATACCATCATATCAAAATATACTAAATTATAGTTAAGCTTGTTTATTTCTCTCATTGTTTAATTGTATATCCTTCAATATTTTATTGTATATTACATCATTAGGATATATTAGTTGATAAGTTTTAAATTAGCATCAATATCGGATTAGATTAGCAAATACCCTATTCACCCCCTCTAAGGTAATTTCATCTCCCCCTTTTTAGTATCTGGAATAGTACCGCTTTCTTATATTTGTGGAAGAAGGGTAGATCAGTCACTTTGGCTGAGCACAGGATGGCGATGGCGAAGTGTGGGTTGGTGGTTGCATCAGCACCTACTTTACAGGTGCCGGCTGGCCACTCGGGGAATGATCACTTCAACATTAAACGATAAGTGATTGGTGGCATGTGGTGCCTACGTGGTCCGATGAGTCATGAAGGCTATCGGGACTAGAGGCATTATGCACATGTTATGCATTAAATGTGATGTTGGCACGTTGCTAGTGGGAGAGGCTCGATGCAGAAGTTGTCATTTAGCTTCGCCGTGAAGTAATGCCTTTCGAGTTGTCGCGAGGCGTCAAGTAAATGGTCGAGTGGGCTCTGGACGAGTCGTCTTCAACAATCGACAAGAGGGTCGACTGGTACCGCCATTCGAGTCAACATTAAAGAATGTTGACTCGAAGAGTCGGCTAAGTTAGGAGTGACTGCTTCGGCGGCGCCATAAGCTAGCTTGAATGGAATCTCCCCGGTTGAGTTTTTGTGGGTCGTGTGGTACGACCAGATGATACTAGGTAACTCTTCAACCCAGTTCCCTACTGCAACGTCCACCTTCTTCTTCAACGCTTATAGGATGCATTTGTTGGCAGCCTCTGCAAGTCCATTGGATTTAGGATGGGCGACTGAGGATAACTTAAGATGAATGTTGTATCCTCGCAAAAGTTGTGAAACCCTCCGCTGTCTAATTGGGTGCCATTGTCAGTCACAAAGGACCGGGGTACGCCTAAACAGCAAACAATGAATTTTCATACAAAACTTGTGACGTTACTCTCACCAATCTTGGCTAGTGGTTCGACTTCAATCCATTTGGTGAAGTAGTCAATCACCACAATAAGAAACTTCCTTTATCCTGAAGCTAGGGGGAGTGGACCTAGCAGATCCAGCCCCCATTGAGCGAATGGTATAGGGCTCAGGATGGAAGTTAGTTCAGTCGTGGTTGCTCGAGAGATGGATGAAAAGAGCTGGCACTTTTGGCAATGAGAGACGAGTCGCCTTGACTCAGCTAAGATAGTTGGCCAGTAGTACCCTTAGCGGATGACTTTCTGCGTAAGGGTTCGGGCCCCAGGATGATTTCCACATGTGCCCTTATGTATTTCCCTGAGCACATAATTGGTCTCTGGTGGTCGAAGGCACCGCAGATAGGGTCCTACTGCTTGAATATGACATCCGATAGAGCTGTTCGTCAATCATGAGATAACGACGAGAATTCCTGTGTAGACGCTTGGCTTTGGCTGGATCTTCAGGCAAAGTGCCCTGTGTTAGGTAAAGGATAATAGGATCCAACCAACAGGGTACCACAAGTGCCTCTGTATGCATGATGGTCTCAGACGGCCTGTAGATATTGGGTCGCTCGAGGGTGTCGATGTAAACTGGCCCCGAGCTGATCCTTAAGCTTGTTGACTCAAACTTAGAGAGGGCGTCCGCCCGAGCATTGAGAGCGCGGGGGACTTGGGCTATTTCGAAGTCCAAAAAACTAGTCAAAATCTCCTTAGCAGCTTTGAGATACAAGGTTATCCTCTGATCTTTAGCTGCATATCGCCCATTCACTTGATGGACGACCAACTGTGAGTTGGCTAAGATGTAAAGGTGATATGCCTTCAGTGCTTGTGCCGCTCGAAGGTCAGCGAGAAGAGCTTCATACTCGGCTTCATTGTTTGAGGCCGAGAAGTCAAAGGAGATGGAGTGCTCGTGCGTCGACCCGTCTGGGCCTCGCAGGACCACCCCCGCTCCGCTGCTGGCTTCTCTAGAGGATCCGTCCACTTTTAATAACCACCATGAGGTATAATCGGGGGAATCATGTTCTAGGGCGTGATAGATCTGGGGAGCAGTTGCTTGGACTGCTGGAGGTGCTGGTTTTGCTGGCTAAATTGTCGGTAGGGGTGCGGCTAGTTCGTCGTTTGACGAAGTTGATTTAATCAAGAAGTTGGCCAAGGCTTGAGCTTTGATTGTCGTCCTGGGCTCGAACTGGACATCATGTTCACCGTGTTCGACTGCCCAGGTGACCATCCTCCCAGATGTTGTGGGGCTGCCCAGTGCTTTCTTCAAAGGCAGACTCGTCCGCACAATGATGGCATGAGCCTGGAAGTAAGGACAGAGTCTCCTTGCATTGATGATGAGGGCGAAAGCAGCCTTCTCTATAAGGGGGTAGTTGAGCTCGCATGCTTTGAG